ATGCTCTGTCACTGTAAACACCGCAAAGCATGCATGTCCTTTTTCAGTAAGTGAAAGTGGATGTGACAGATTTGTTAACACTGCACCCTTCTGGGAAGGATTTTCTCTGCAAGTAGATCACAGTAACCTCTCGTGTGAAACTCTGACCTGTACCACGTTGTGCTAAATGAAATATTTGTGCAATCTTTGCTTTGATTGTGGTAATGTGATTTACTGTTGTGTTACGACTATATATTAATATTGCCTTCTCCGTGGACACGCTTAACCTGTTGAGTACAGTGTTTACATTCATAAATGTCTTTCAGTTAGACATAGGTCACAGATTATTGCATGCAAATTGCCATGAATTGCACTTTCATGTTAGTGATTAAGCAATGCTCTGGAGTTAATCACGCTATAGACATCATATTGATGCCACCTTCAGCATTTAATGTGCACTAAGTAATTTTTCAATAGTAAGTTTAACAAATACATACACATTTGTAGAGTCTAATCACACCATTGCATTCCATCATCTGTGTCTGTACATCTGAAAAGGGAACAAGACACTTCAAAGGCACCTTTTGGTATTAAAATGTTCTGCTTCACAGTTTGAAACAGACATTTTGGAAAGCATACTTTGCCTGGAAGGAGATTAATTGTCACATTGTTAAGTACAGACACAGTGTGGGCAGCCTCTTACTGATGCATGAAGATGTGACTAAAAATGCCCTGAATATTGCTTTAATGATATAAGAGCAGATTTCAAATTCATAATGCAAATGAACACTTGGTAGGCAAAAGTTCAATGAAAGCTTCCCACTCAACAACCTTTTTAGAAACTCTTAATTCATGGCATGTGTACTGTATATAATGTTGTTCCAGTATGATGTTTACTTACATTTCTTTGAGCTATTTTCGCACAAGATTTATCACTGTTTTGTTGAACTACAGTGAAGTACATTCAACAATATTTGTCTATATTAGTGGTATTTATGAAATACAAGTGTCATGCCATTTGTATTCTGTAATAAATTATGTATTTAATGTACGCCTGGATGTGACTGATCTTTTTTTCAGCGTTTGGAGGGAAGGCACAAAGCCCTCAAATTAATTAGTATGTTCCTGAAACAAAAAAGCAAAACAAAAGGATAAATCACAGCCATTACAGCATAAGAAACAGCTTTAGAGTTTGCAGAGGATCCAAAATGATCCTAAAGTGTTTACTAAGCATAGCTGCATACATAATTAATTTCTGATACATAAATAGCATTAGTCAGCCAGCACATACTTTTACAGTACTACTTTGTTAAAGTATTAGATTCAGCACCCATCAGCCACCTTCCCTCTATTCTGTAGGTCATCACCATTGAAGAGTAAATCAATCAGTGAATCACCACGAGTATGATTTGTGTCATTCTGTGCTCCGTGGAAAACATCCCCTTAAGAATAACTTCACCCTTTGCATGTGTATAGCTGCAACTCAGCAATGTCTATTTCAGTATGGAAACGAGCCCCTGCAGCATGTGATTGGAATAGACTGTGATATTGTAAAATGTTTCTATTCTGAGCAGAGGTTTATTACTATATCAGATTCCATTAGAATTCATTCTCATTCACCTCATATGCCTGTGAACAAAAGTGCAGCCTGGATACAGTAAATTAGGTGGCATATAAATGTCTAGGTTATATATATATATATATATATATGGGAAGAGTGAGGCTATACGACTGATACATTAAAAGGCCAATGATTCATGACGTTAGTGGTAAATGTTCCCTTGATTGATTGGTTCATATGCCTGCTGTGACATTTAGGAAAGAGCAAAGAGAGGAAAAAGAGAATGGATTCATTTTAATGAAAGCAAAATTAGACATAAATGGACCCACCAGAGAGGAAAATATGGGAAGGTTTTTACCATGAACCCCATTAGTGGTGGTGAAAAGATACATCAAGAGATTAATATGTATGATGAATATAAAAGAATAAAAGTGAAATTCTGGCCTTAGAGTCCCAATACTGTACTAAATTAAAAATAATGCCGGTTATGTTATAATCCTAGCTAGTGTAACTGAGTGCGTACGCCATGTTACAGTGATAAATATCTTCTAAAAATAAAATAAAATAAAATAAAATGGAGGGATAGGAGTTTAAATTACAAATGGCAAGTATGCAAGTTTTTTTAATCTTAATTAGAATTAAAAGCCTGAGATAATAAATGCATTTTTAACCGAGTTTTAAATGTAAATATAGTTGGAACTTCTCTAACATACAGGGGTAAAAGATTCCACAGTCTAGGTGCAGCTACCGAAAAGGCACGATCGTCCCCTAAGTTTTAATCTAGACCTAGGAACAGTTAGAAGCAAATTTCTAAATGTATTTTATAATTTTATATTAATAATTTATTGATTTTATATTTTTATACATTAAAAAAAGACATGGAAAAAGCACATTGGTATGACACAAATGAACTGAAACAGTGACAGAAAAACAGAAAAACAAACATGTTATAGTGATTTACAGCAAGTAGGAGAAAAAGAGAGACCATGTGAAAACATTAGCTGTAACATTACAGGTTACAGAGGCTCAGAGGATGTGATTTCCAGAGGTTCATCTATTGGAAAAACATTGAGCCTTTGACGTTAAACTAGCCTACATGTGAGGAGAAAACAACAGATAACACAACCTCACCTAACATCAGCAGCTTTAAACAAACATGCAGCCAGTCTGAACAACTCATTCTTTGACCCTCTCACCATTAAATCAAAGTCTATTCCACCGTGAGAAGGTTTTATAAGGACACAAGACTTTAACCAGCTTAAGAACGGCCTGGTTATTAAATGTGATTTAGAACTACTGAAGAAGAGCCGCTGGTTGATATTCACGAGTGCTCTCCAAACTGATTCAATCATTTACCTCAATTACACTTGAGCCTCGGCTGAGCTATAGGCAGCACGTCTCAGTTATTAAATCATGCTCAGCTCTCCACCACAAATAAAAGTGTTGCATCAGTTGGCGCCCCTTAAAGAGTCTTAAAACGTCTGCCAGGCACACATACGGCTTCTCTGTCAATATACGATTTGGAACATAATGTCTCTCTCTGGATTCCACATGCTCATGTCACGGGCCAAATCTCCTTCTCTGCAGTATCTCAGCTCTTTAGAAGCTTCCTAGATAATGGACTCATGTTGTGAGTGGAAAAGTGCGCCATCCTTTCTCTAAAGATTTTTAGAAAAGAGGCAAAACTGATGGTGAAGCGCAGGTCTCCAGCAAAGGAGCAGAGCACTGACCATGGCACCACACAGTCTAACAGCACTGGTCTGTGAGAGACCTCCACAGGACACCCCAATAAAGTCATTCTCCTGCCCTGGGGGTTAAAACAGCACAGCATCAGAGCATGGTTTTATTCAGCCTCGGAGTCCAAGAAAAATATCTGAAAAATATTAGTCAAACAAACAGCCCATGGCTACATGCCGTGTTCCTTTCCCACATTTGATACATCTGCCATTTTTTGCTATTAGCCTGCAGCATATTATATAAATCTCTAAACCTGACAGCAACATGCCACAGCTGTCATCATGGCCGTGCAGAACAAAGAATTTTCACACTGTAATAGTGCCGTAATGGTCTGAACATGAGGAGTGGGAGACATCAATAGAGTACAATGTAAACACTAGCTATCACCACAGACG